GGACCCACGGTCAGACCCACAGTGACACGCTCGGGGTCTGGGACCCATGGCCAGACCCATGGCAGGACCCACAGCGACAGCCTGGGGGTCCAGGACCCACAGCCGGACCCACAGCGGGCATCTGGGACCCACAGCAACACCCTGGGGCTCCAGGACCCACGGCCAGACCCACAGCAGGACCCCAGGGCTCCAGGACCCACAGCGGGCATCTGGGACCCACAGCAACACCCTGGGGCTCCAGGACCCACGGTGGGGGTCCAGGACCCACAGTGGGACCCACGGCGACACGCCGGGGGTCTGTGCCCCACCGCGGGACCCCGGCATTGGGGACCCCACACACCCGTGCCCCACGGCGTCCCTGTCGCTCCTGCCCAGAATAAAGCCTTGAGGGTCTCCCCGTTTTCTGACTTCGTTAGCATCCCCCGTTCATTAGCGCCCCACCTTCATTAGTGGCCCCCACCCTCATCAGTGCCCCCAGCTCATCAGCAGCTCCGCCTCGTTAGCACGTGGGTTTATTCCTCGGGTAGCGACACCCCCAAAACAGCCCCCGAGGGGGGAGTTTGTTCGTTAGACTCGTCCCTTAACGAATGCCATTCACTGGGCATTCGTTAATCTGGTTCCCTAATGAGCGGATTCTCTCCTAACAGTGTTTCCTCAGAAACTCATTCGTCTCATCCCTTAACGAGCAGCTTTCCTAGTACTAGTTTGCTGGGTGTTCATTAGTGCTGTTCCTTAAAGAGCACTGTTTCACCACTCATTAGTCCCACACCTTAATGAGCACCTTTTCTGGAGCTGGTTCACTGGATGTTCATTAGCCCAGTTCTTAAGGAGCACGTTCTCTTTTAACACCGTTTCCCAGGACGCTCATTAGTCTTGTCCGCTAACGAGCACCTTTTCTGGTGCTACTTCTACCAGATGTTCGTTAGGCCAGTTCCTTAACGAGCGGGTTCTCTCCCAGCACCACTTTATCACATACTCATTAGTCCCATCCCTTAACGAGCGCCGTTCGGGGTTCACTGGATGTTCGTTAGTGCAGAGTGGGTTCTTCTCCAACACTGTTTCCTGCAATGCTCATTAGTCTCATCCCCTTAACGAGCACCTTTTCTGGCGCTAATTCTACCAGATGCTCGTTAGCCTGGTTCCTTAAGGAGCAGGTTCTCCCCTGTCCCTTAACGAGCGCTGTTCCCGGGCCTGTTTTGGTGGATGTTCGTTAGCCTGGTTCCTTAATGAGCGGGTTCTCTCCCCTCCCTTAACGAGTGCCATTCCCTGACCTGCTTCTGTGAATGTTCGTTAGCCTGGTTCCTTAATGAGCGGGTTCTCTCCCCTCCCTTAACGAGTGCCATTCCCTGACCTGCTTCTGTGAATGTTCGTTACCACAGTCAAGTCACCGCAGCTCCTTACCAAGAGGACTCTCCTCCAACACTGCTTCCCCCCATGCTCATTAGCCTCGTCCCCTAACGAGCACCTTTTACCATCCATTCGTTCCTCCCGGCTCCTTAACGAGCACCTTCTCTCCAGCCGCCATCTCACCCTTGTTAACCCCAGCCCTTAACAAACACCACGACTCACTTCGCCCTTCCTCAGTCCAGCTCTTGGATGAGCCGCCTCTCTCCCAACCCTTCGTTAACCCGGTCGCTAATGAGCTCCCGCCAGGGGCCCCCACAGCCCCTCTCTGCCTCCTCTCTCAGGACGGCCGCCTCCTGCGCCACGCCAGCGTGAACGACCCGCGTCTCCTCCGCCAGCGCCGCCAGCGTCTCCGGTGCTTCCCGGCTCCACGCCAGCAGGTAGCGGCACTTCCGGCGAGCGTTGCTGAACCGACGCCGTTCCTCCTTCGGCAAATGGCTCTCTCCCTTCCGGAACAATCTCTCCAGGTGAAGCAAAGCGACGGCCACGTCTTCGCCGTCGGTTCTCCCTTCTCTCCCTTCCAAGATCTGAACAACAGCCAACACCGTCCCGGCGTCTCCCAGCGGGCATTGCGGATAACCGGCGACGCTGACGTCGTAACGGGCGGCGTGGAGGGCTTCGGCGGCGGAGGCGAAGGCCCGGCGGCCGCGAAGGGCGGCCGAGACGTCAAGGACGGCGGCGGGCAGCTCGGGCAGCAGCGTCTCGTCCCCGCTGTGCAGGCTGAGGGCGAAGGCGTAGCCGAAGAGGACGTTGGGCAGCTGGAACGGAACCAGCGGGGAGGGAGGGGGAGCGCGGAGGCTGCTCAGGGGGGTTATGACGGCGGGAAGAAAGGGCGGGGGGCTGGGGGCGCCTTCCTCTTCTTTGCCCGCCTGCGGCTTCCCCAGCTCCTCCCCCAGCCGCCGCCGCCGCCGCCACCACCAGGGTCTCCAGGCCGGCAGCAGTGTCGCCGCTTCCCCCGAGCTCAGCAACCGCTGGAAACCCGCTCGTTCTGCCGGGCTGAGGCTCTTCCACAGATCGCGGCCTAGAGGCCCGGCTGCATCCTCGGCCTCGCCTAGCTGCCGTAACCGGCGGAAGGCGGAGGCCAGTCGGTCGTGGCTCGGTGGGGGATCCCGCTCGGTTTCCAGGGCCTGCAGCACCTGCTCACGGTAAAAGGCCTCGGCGCAGCCGCCGTGGCCCCGGTAGCAGCCGAGGGAGCAGAGGCGACGGTTACAGCGCGGGCAGGTGTAAGGGGCGGCGGCGGCGCCGCACAGGCCGCACGGCGGCTGCTCCTCCTCACCGGCCGCCGCCATCTTCGCGACTCAATTCGTGTCTTCCGGTTCCGACTCGGCAGTTTCCGCCCCCGCTCGCACCGCTCGGGTGCCTTCGGCTGGCCCCGCCCCCGC